GGAGAGGGGGAGGTGTAGACGATGGAAGCGTGATGAGTAGGGAGGAGGTGTAGACGATGGAAGCGTGGTGAGTAGGGAGGAGGTGTAGACGATGGAAGCGTGGTGAGTAGGGAGGAGGTGTAGACCATGGAAGCGTGGTGAGTAGGGGGGAGGTGTAGACCATGGAAGCGTGGTGAGTAGGGAGGAGGTGTAGACCATGGAAGCGTGGTGAGTAGGGGGGAGGTGTAGACCATGGAAGCGTGGTGAGTAGGGGGGAGGTGTAGACGATGGAAGTGTGGTGAGTAGGGGGGAGGTGTAGACCATGGAAGCGTGATGAATAGGGGGAGGTGTAGACCATGGAAGCGTGGTGAGTAGGGGGGAGGTGTAGATGATGGAGGCGTGGTGAGTAGGGGGGAGGTGTAGACGATGGAAGCGTGGTGAGTAGGGGGGAGGTGTAGACCATGGAAGCGTGATGAATAGGGGGAGGTGTAGACCATGGAAGCGTGGTGAGTAGGGGGGAGTGTAGACGATACTGGGAGCATGAAAAACTGCGTTAATTGTTTCTCAACCGTGAAGATTGGAAATGTGCCGCTTACGTTTTGCCTCCTGCCAGGATCTATCAGTCTACCAACCAAATGAGTTTATTTAACGAGTGCAAAAGAGAGACGTTCAGACGTCAGATGACTAAACAGAAAATTGGAGATGCCCCAAGAAGTGCATAGTTACATTCATGCTGGGAACTCCCACACGTGTCTACCCAAGACATTCTTGCCCCCAGTGACACCATCGTCACTAACACTTTCGGTTCCAGCATGTGGGTAACCGGCCTTACCTCGAGTAACGTTTATGAGGGTATTCTCTCCGTCCACTTTGATTTGCCCGTACGTGTTCATAGGTCCTGGCTCGTCCGACTCTCTGTAGGGCGGGGTTGTCCCGTCATACACCCAGTCACTGCTGATGTATATCACCCAGGCACCGATCTTCACTGCAAGAGACGGCAAGTGAAATGTGCCGATAATGAACATGTGCTGAACCTCATCATTGCAAGTATTTAATTCGTACAGCCGTGGGTGCTAAACGACACTTGCGTGTTGGCAAATCGCAGCTGCATGGAAGTACAAGGGAACTCTGTAACAGAGTCCTTCTCTGTCCTTGTAAATCACACAATATGGATTTTTCATGCAAACAAACCGGTGAAAAACATGACAATCGGAATTGGCGCCTGTGCCAAGGTGCATGGCAACTCGAGCTTAATATTCGTAATAATAACTTTAGTGACTCAAGTCTTGGCTCAAACTTAAAACATGCCAAGGGGAAACCATGTCATAGATAGGTGGTTTGTATTATTCTGCCACAAGTACACAAGATTCTGACAAGACATTGATTTTAAATCAAGACAAACAGTATCTGTTGCATATCCTGGTGCTTAGTGCTGCCATATCAGCATGTAAGACATGTTTCATACATGTATAATACATATATAATAATGAGTATTGTCGCTGTTCGAGCTGAGTGATAACTGACTATATATGATGTATGTACAGACTTACTGGTGCCACGTATTCGTCGACAAAGTAGTAAGCGTCATATCGCGTCAGTGGAACCAAAAGGGTACGTCATGGAGATTACCGACTCCCTCCTCGAATGCAGGAAAATATCTACGATATTACGCGATCACGGTAAGCATGCATGCATCCCACACTCGCCTAACTAACACCTCATCACATGTACAAACCTGCTTCTTGAGCGATAAACTTTGTCGCCTTCACGTTGAGTGCCGTGGTTAGATCTGTGTCGATCTCTCCCAGCTTTCTCTCGTAGGGAACGTGCACTATCACGCATGGCTGCAACGCAAACACAACACACACCGTCAGTAACGGCAAGGTGAAAGGAGAACGCAGGTCTCCGATACGAGTCGCGAGCGGCAAGCTTACGCGACGACGCCGAGAAATCTTCGAAATGGATCGCGAATGTCGCTCGCGGTGAAATGAACGTGAAATCTTCTAAAACAACGCAACAGGCCACCGTCGCATCACTGATAGATCGCTACTCCCAGCTATGTACTCGGTTTCTCAGCAACCGTGTTTCCTTTCTCACTGGCGTTTCACTCGATGACACGAGTCACGTCCAATTTCCCTTGCCACCAGCATTTCACCCTATGCTACGAGCCGCACCCAATTTCCCTTGCCACCAACGTTTCACCCTATGCTACGAACTGCACCCAATTTCCCTTGCCACCAACGTTTCACCCTATGCTACGAACTGCACCCAATTTCCCTTGCCAACAGCTTTTCGCCCGATGCCAAGATCCACATCCCATTTCTCTTGTTGCCGTGTCGGCAAGCGTCGGACACGCCCGCGCGCGACAAGAGGCTACCGGGCGGCCTCGTTTCCCTTGCCACCAGCACTTGCCCCGACACTACTAGCCACGTCCCGTTTTCCCCGCCGCGACGTCCTCCGCTCGCACCTAGATCTGATGCGCCCGTGTGTAGACCACGTCAGCCTACTGTATACGCTGTATATTTAACGGTGGTTTAATTTTCACGAATTTCGCGAACACGTCTGCGACCGCGAAAATAACAACACGCGAATAATTCACACCGAGTGATACCGAATAATTCGTAATTCACCGACCGCGAAATTAACCACTCGCGAGATTGTCCGTCAAGTCTGACTTCGCGAAAAATATATGGCGTACATACAGTACACGGCAATCGCGGCATCGCAGCACTCACAAGGTACGCGCCGCTGCCGCGTACCTTGAACTGTTTGATGGTCTCCCTCGCGACTTTCTCGTCGCTGAAGTCGACGTTGAACTGGAAGCTCTGGGTTGTGGTGCTGGCGGCCTTCGCCGGATGAGCGAGCGAGTGGCCGTAGCCGAGCACCTCCCAGTTGGCCTGCTGGAACTCTGCGACGATGCAGCGGCCGAGAATCTCCGACGCGCCGGCCACCAGTATGCGCGGCTTTGCACCTGCCGAAGAAGTGAAGCGGGAGCCACTGTAGGTGCGTGCGTGGGGCGGACACGTGAGATGGACGGTGAGTCAGGACTGCGCCATTACAAAAGTGATCGAAAACAAACATGGCGGCTCTGACTTCAAATTATGATCGAGAGACGAGAGGTTTCAGACCTGAGAAAACATTGGGAATAACTGCAAGTGAGTCTCTGTGATGGCGATGGGGATTAGCATATATATATATTAGGGTTTTGTCTGGGTAATTGAGTCTAGTGCCTGATAATGTATTTCGTGATTAAAAATGAACTTAATCATGAAATCTGGGCTCAAATTACATGCAGTGGCAGATAACATGATACCAGCAATTTGCAATTGACATCGAAGTAGTTTCACTCACTTAGAAGAATAACAAGTGCCGCGGAGCAACAGCGCTCATTTAACGTCTACTGCGGTGACTCTGTGGTGGAGTGG